GAAAGAAAGAAAGAAAGTTAGGCACAAAGAAGTTAGGACACTCATCCAAAATCACACAGCCTGTAGGTCATGGCGCACACAGGCCTACTGTGTTGTGTTGGGCATGGCCAGGAGTCGGCCTCTAACTACTAAACACCACTGCCTCTCCTCTCTCCTGGGCAATGGCCTAAGGGCTATTCCAGCACTTTCATTTGTAGAAGCCACTCCCTCCTGGGGACAGGCTCAAGAGTCTAGGGCAGGAGGGTGGCAATGCAGCCCTCCTTCCACCTGCCCACAGATGCCTCTAGCTCAGCTTCGTGTTCTGTGCCCTGCCTGCTGCCCACCGGCTATGCAGCCCCAAGCAGGCCTCTCCTCTTTGCCTTTGAATTACACCGTTGGCGGCACAAGCAGGAAGCAAATTGTGCGCAGAAACAAAACCGAGTGGTTTTTCCTTTTTCTGAAGGTGGTAATGGTGCAATTAGTGGCTAAGCCATTACCCGGCTCCTCCCTGCTCACTTCCCCTCCTTCCCTTCTGCCTCCCTCTCTTCCCCTCCTGGGAAAAGTGGCTGAATGGGAGAGCTTGCCTGTCATTCTCCCCACCCCCACCCAACTCCCAGGAAGACAGGCAGAACTGGGGGATACTCAGATGTCTCCAGGGGGCTCCTGGACTTAGGGTAGTGCACCAGGGACTTGTTGAAGTTGGAGGACAGGAAGACAACATGTCCAGTAAGTGGGGGGACCAGTAAGCTGATGGAGGTTCAGAAGAAGTGAGCTAGAATCCCAGAGGGTTTGGCTGCCTGGACCCTGTATCCTGCCTGTGCTTATTAGGAGCAGGTGCTAGCATGAGGCGTCAGCCTTGCAATCTGTGAAATGAGCTAAGGCACCATTTTTCCTGAGTGGAGAGGGGCAGGGGTGTGCAGGGTCAGACGTTCCACATCTAAGCTAGAGTGATGGGGGTGGCCATGGTTCTGCTTTAAAGCTTACTTTTCTTCTTCTAGAAACTAAAAAGAGGCCTCATGTTTACGTATTTCATGTCTCTTAGTTTACTCCATCTTCACAGTCTTCCTCTGCAGGGGCAGTTTTGTTCTGCTGCTATATAGAAAGGAAGCTGGAGGCTCAGAGAGGGTTAGTAGCTTGCCTAGGATCACACAGCTAATAAATGTAATTGGAACTCAAACTAAGATCCTTAGTCTTAAACTCCAATCATTTCCCTTTTTAACCCCCACGCTTTGGGATGAGATCTTATAGGTGTAGGTTGATGCCCTGAAGAGTTAAAGTTGGCAGGAAAGGTGCCCACAAAATTTGGGGATGCAGATTTCAGGGCAGGTACACAGCCACTGGCCTCACCCGGGTAAGCTAGGCTGTGCTTGCCTCCCCACAGCTGCCTCTCGCCTCTTTTACTTTGACTTGAAGCACAAGCAGAAACTGGGACAGGAGCCCCAGGAGACCAGATCTCCATGGTCCCTCTGGGGCCACAGGGTGGAGAAGAGGTTGCAGAAGAGGGCTCAAGAGAGGAGCAACCATCACAGCTGCGGGAGGCAGGGGTAAGCAGGCAGCCAGGGCCATTCTCTCTAGACTCCCAGAGTGTCCTCTGCATTTCTTCCCAAGTTACATTATACTACTGTGATGGGCAAGGTAGTAGAAGAACAGAGAGAACAAGAGCAAAGGAGAAAGACAGAAGCAGAGGCCAAAAAAAAAAAAAAAAATTAGGGGAACTGAGAGACAGTTACAGAGACTACAGTGATGCACAGAGAGTCATCCCAATGAATTAGCCATCGTTTTCCTGTAAACCTTAGAACCCAGCTGTTGCCAGGGCAACGGGGCAATACCTGTCTCTCCAGAGAAGATGAAGTTGCCAGGGTAACTGCATCCTGTCTTTCCTGGGGACCATCTCGGAATGCGGCACCCACTGGCAGTTACCATGGCAACTGCCTTTTTGCCCCACTTAATCCCATCCCGTCTGCTACAAGGGCCCTGCAGTTGGAGGTGGGGGAGGTGGGAAGAGAGAAGATCACTTGTGGACTAAGTTTGTTCTCTTCCCCCTCCCCCAACTCCTCCCTTAGTCCATCATCCTGGGGGCGCTGGGTCCACCCGCCCCTGGCCCACACAGGCCTGCAGTATTGTGTTTCGCAGGGCCAGGAGTCCGGGAGCAGGTTTCGCAGTGGAAGGCAGGCAGGTGTTGGGGAGGCAGTTACCGGGGTAACGGGAACAGGGCGTTTCGGAGGTGGTTGCCATGGGGACCTGGATGCTGACGAAGGCTCGCGAGGCTGTGAGCAGCCACAGTGCCCTGCTCAGAAGCCCGGGGCTCGTCAGTCAAGCCGGTTCTCTGCTTGCACTCGGCACGGGCAGGCGAGTGGCCCCTAGTTCCAGGAGCAGAGCAGCAGTGCCTCAGTCCTGGTCTTCCAGCTCCAAGCCTCGCCTGCCCACCCAGCACCAGGATGGCCACCATCACCTGCACCCGCTTCACAGAAGAGTACCAGCTCTTCGAGGAACTAGGAAAGTGAGTTGTGCCTCAGGGAGTTCTGGGGGGCACAGGGGTCGTTGTCTCAGGCCATGGGCATGTGCCTATAGTGCTTGGGGGTATGCCTGTGTACACAGATGAGGGCAAGCTGTATGGGTCTGGGGCACTGGAATGTGCACAGAGTGCCCAGAGTTGGGTGTGGGCATGTATGTGGGTGTACAGATATGCCAAGCCAACCAGGCAAGTGTGTGTGTGTGGTATGTGTGTGGAGGGTTGAAAGGTTGACAGTGTATGGCTGTGCTTGCACACACACATACCCATAAACACACACAGTCTGGGCACACATAGATTCTTAGAAACCAGGGTTAAAAGGGATCTTTCCAGTCAGCTAGAGCCAAAGCTGGAATTCCTTCTTTAGTTTCACTTGAGGTGGCCATCTGGCCTCCACTTAGATGACTCCATAACAGAGAATTCACCAGCTGCCATGTAACCCTTCCTGACTTTACATACCTGCAGGAACTGTGCAGAGTGGCCAACTTCTCCCTATAAGCACATCCCCTCCCCACCTCCCTCTTTCTAGCTTCTGCTAGGAGTGAAGGCATCAGTACAGTAGGGTTAACATCTGAGCAGCTGGTGGAGCTTCCTAAGTGTTGGGCGGCAGGGAGGGGCAATCAAGCAAGCTGGAGGAGGGGGCACCGCTGTATCAGGAGCTGGTGGTATGAAGGGTGCAGCAGCTCTGGTCCTGTGACAAAGTTGCCCAGTCCTGAGCTCATGTTCTGCCTCTGAGGACTGCTATGGAGAGAAGATTGGGACGATGAGGAGTGACAGAAGTGCCTTGGGGTAGCCCAGTAGGCTATGGAGTGTCAGCAAAGGGTCTGGATGCCCCTGGCTAGATTTGTGGAGGCTCCTGGGGTGATCAAGGGTTGGGTGCAGTTTGGAGGCAGAGTTTTCCCTGAGGGCAAAGGAATGACAATGCCATGGTGGGTTCCTGCTTTAGCAGCAAGAGTACAGGGGAGAGGGGCTCAGAGAGTTCCGAATGTGCATGCATCAGAGTGCGCTATGTTGCTGTGCATAAGGACTTCGGAGGGGAATTGACTGTGTTGTATGAGGACTGGATCTGGGGTACGGTTGTGTGCCCTGAGAGGGTGTTCGAGTATTCATGCCTGTGCACCAGGAAGAGGTACAAGTGTGCCCTGAAAGGGTGCATGTGTGTGTCACAGGGAGTGCTGTTGGTTGGGTTGCATGGGAGCCAGGGTGTGGACAAGTGTCACTGTGTGTGTACATGTGTGGCAGGTCAGAGCTTTATGCACATCAGGAAGCACTTGTGTGTGAGGTCTGGGGGTGTATAAGGATGCACATGTGAGATGTGGATGCAGTGGTGTTCTTGTGAGCTCTGGACACGAACATCTGTGTGAGAACCAGGGTCATATACACAGAGGGTATACGTGTGTGTGCATATGTGAGGTCTGGGCTCACGGACTTGTGTGGGAGTATGGATGTTGTAGGCGTGTGTGAGCTCTTGCTGGTGTCTGTATATGTGTGGGAGGTGGTCTGTGCTGTGCACAAGTAGGTGGCTGGCACACACAGACACTGGCACACTCAGGCTATCGACACTGACAGGCACGCTGCTGCTCCTTGTGCACACACACCAATGTGTAGATGTGTGTTCACTCTTATCTGCAGACTTCCTACATTTCTGAGTGTTTTTGTGCTAAGGGTAGGGATAGGAACAAAATATTTAGGATTGCTTTAGAGGACTGAGGCTGCCGTCCAAACTTGTTGAGGGGCCCCCTCCCACTGGTTTCCAGTGCTCACCTGGAACCCAAGAATTCCTTGATTTGCCAAGAGCTGCTTTGCAAGGAGCGACCACAGCTGGGTTCTGGCAGGACTGCGTCACAGAGTACAGCGAAATGGAGTTGAGATGTGACTCAAGTGCTCAAAGTGGAAATAAAAGTGATGTTTTGCCCCAAGAGGAGATGGATGTCATTAAGATTGGGTTTTGTGGGGGCAACTTAACAGAGAGCCCTTTCGTGAGCCTTCACAAGGAATTTCAGAGGAAAGGGAGCCCTGGCGTGTGGCTGTGGCAGGAAAACCGAAAGTGGCAGACAAGGCCAGGGCTTGTCTAATCAATTTCAGACCTCTTCTTTCCTGAACCATCAGTGCTCTTAACCTTTTTTTAGGTCACATATTCCTTCAGGAATCTGATGAAAGTCTAAATCTACATTCCCCAGAAAAATGCACAAACCTACAAAACACTGCACGCGCTATCAGGAGCTCACAGGATGCCAGGAAGTCTGTGCCTGGGCCTCAGGTTAAGGATGTTCCTGTCGCAGCAAAGGGGATGAGGTAGCCTGGCTCCACACCTCTGATGTCTGTGTAGAAAGGTCAGGGCACTTCACCAAGGAGGCCTGGGGGTCCCGCTCTGCACTCCAGTTTGAGCTGCCAGCAGGGCCTGGGGGGGAGCACAGACTGTACCTCACCACTCACAGCCCTGCCACATTGGGCAGGCTATGATGCCTCTTTCCCCCTACCTGTGATCTGGAATAAAGGTGGGCTGTGAGGATTCAGTGAGGTGGTGCATATGGAGACAGTCTCGGGCCTGTCGCAGGGTGGGCCTCTCACACAGCTGCTAGGGTGATGGTTTTCCTCCAAGGCTTGCAGAGCTGAAGGAAGGGATGGGGGCCTCCTTGATGTTTATCTTTTGCCTGGAGTTTGCCCAGTGTGGGGAGGGGGATGACCAAGACTTGACTCCCCAGGGCTAGCAGGGATGAAAGGATTCCTCTGTGAGGAAGAAAGAAAGATGCCTGCAGGGCCCATTCTTCAGTTGAGGACCCATGGTCCCTGCCAGGTAGGACACTGCAGTCACCACCCAAACGCCTAGCCCCCCATGCCAGAATCCACTTCAGTTATTAGCAGGGTGACTAGAAGAGACAGCTGGTTGTCCCTAAAAGGAAACAGGGGAGCTTCCCAAGGGCATCCTGGCGGGTCTGTCTGGGCAGGCCTTCCAAGAGAGCAGGGTGGGGCTGGCTACGGTTGTGGAGGAGCTGCTCCTCTTCTGCCCTGGGGATAGCCAGCTAGGAGGCTGTGGCTAGAGTCAGCGCCCTGGGCAGGGGGTTCTAGAGCCACTCAGCGCTACTGGGCTGAAAGTTCCTCATATGGATTCAGATGAGGCAAAAACTTGATTCAAGTTCTCCTAGAAGGTTGAGGTGGGGCTGTCTCTTGGGACACAGATCTGAGTTCACTCCCTTCTCCTCTGACCCCAGTCCTCCTCTCTCCCAGGGATGAGGTAAATGAAAGCCCAGACCCCAGTGGCCGAGAAGATTGCGGGAGGCAGTGACACTAGCTGCAGAGATCAGGGTGGGCTGGGGTGGCCAGGCCAGGGCTCCTAGCATTCCTAGTTTTCTCTGAAGACCAGAGTCTCTGAGAAAGACAGGAATGCTGGTAGTGGTGGGGGGCCAGGGGTGTGGAAGGACCAGCAGGCACTGGAAAGCAGGTTTGAGGATGTGGAGAAGATTTTCTAGCACTTGGCATCGATCCCACCCCCAGGAGAGGTTAGAAAGGCAGAGAATTGCCCTGCAGCCTGTGTAATCACTGGGCTGTACAGAAAGAGCCTCCAAAGGAGATTTTACTTGAGAGAGAGGGAGGGAGGCAGAGAGATTGGAGAGCTCAACCCACTCTTTTCTCTCTAGAAACAGGGATCTGAAATTGACTCAAGGCAGTGTTGGAGTTGGGGGAGGGGTTGCAGGGGCTGCACTTGGCCAGCAGAGTTGACAGGGAGCAGAGGCTGGCTCCCTAGTGTGATGCCCCTTCTCTCCACCATGGCTTTGCATCACGAAACTGGTGGGGCTGGGTTGATCCACGGGTGCAGCTTGGGGCCTAGGTCCAGGGTGCTCAAGTCTCCCCTGGACCCCAAACTCTAACATCTGTAGAATGTGATTGGCAAACCTACCTTTTCCGGCAGAGCTGATAGGAATGTGGACAGTGTCACACTGGAGAGAGAGCGAGCACCTGGGCATTGATGCACCACCCAAAGGTCTGGTGGTATGTTTATTCCACCTCTAATACCCTCTCCTATCCACAGTGCTTTGGGGCGGGGAGGCACTTCTTCCTCCATGAGCTCATCTCTGAGGGAGGGGGCAGGGCTTACTCATCTGTCTTACACAGGGAGAGACTGTGGCTCCAGGAGGTGGGGGGACCTGCTTAGGCGTCTGTGTTCAGGTTTCTAGCACCCAGCACATGGAAGGAAGGTTGCAGAGAGGGACCACTCCTGGCACTGTGTCTGGGGAACATCCTCTCTCTTGCCCTCTGAGAAGGGAAGAAAGCAGTGGCCTGGCGTGGGGGGAATTCTGAGCTGTTGCTGATTTTCTAGTCATGCTTGTGCTCCTAATTTACGGGACCACCCTGAGGGAATCACTTGTTCTTTGTGCCTAACTTACCATCTGTAAAATGGGAACCATAATACCTCTGTAGATGCCTGAAATGCCCCACTAGGGTTGCCACCCTCTGTGGCCTCCCTCTCTGGAAGGCACACGTGGGACTGCAGACCCCCAGGACATCAAAATTGGAGGGATCATGCAGACTGCTCATATAGTCCTTGCCTTGGCTTCTGGGAGCTAGCACCCAGAGAGAAGTGATTTGTCCAAGGCCACGGGGAGAGACAAGGCCCAGGATAGGGCACCAGATGATGTACAGAGGCCGGAAGCCAAATGATGAAAAACTGGTGGGGAGAGAAGACCTTAAGGAGTGGGTGGCAGGGACAGAGAAGGGGACAGGCTCTCCTTCCTCTCCTCCAAGCCATCAGAGCGGCAGGCACGCACATGTTCTGGTGCATGCTGCAGCCCTCCACCCCCACACAGCCGCCCCCACACAGGCTGAGACACACTGACACTCCACTGAGCCTCCCTCCCTCCCTCCCAACATCCCTCCACGAGCACACGGTAACACTGCTGCCAGCACCCCCTGCAGTCTGGGGCTGCGGCCCTCTTTGCAGAGTGAGGGCAGAGCCTTGGGATGCAATGTCTACATCCTGTTGCTGATGT